CAGGGCAGTGTACAAGGGTCAACAGGACATAGGGAACGAGTCAGTAAGGGCATAGGACAGGGGTCACCAGTGCAGAGGATGGGGCCAGCACAGCAGAGGAAGGGGTCAGCAGGAAAAAGCATGTGGTCAGCAGGGCAGATGATCAGCAGGGCATAGGGCAGGGGTCAGAAAGGCATAGGACGGGGTCCACAGGGCAGAGGACAGGGGTCAGTAGGGCATAGGATGGGGCCAGCAGGACATAGGATGGAGTCCGCAGGGCATTGAGTGGGGTCAGCAGCGCATAGGATGGGGTCAGCATGGTAGATGACACGGGTCAGCAGGGCATAGGATGGGGTCAGCATATGGTAGATGACACGGGTCAGCAGGGCATAGGACGAGGTCTACAGTACACAGGATGGGGTCCGCAGGATATAGGATGGGAGTCAGTAGGACATAGAATGAGGTCCATAGGGCATAGGACGGACTCTGGAGGGCACAGGACAGGGTCCACAAGGTAGAGGACAGGGGTCAGTATGACATTGGATGAGGTCAGCAGGGCATAGGACGGGGTCCGTGGGACAGAGGACACTGGTTAGCAAGGCATAGAATGGGGTCAGCAGGGTATAGGATACATTCTACAGTGCACAGGATGGGGTCCGCAGGGTAGAGGACAGGGGTCACTAAGACAAAGGATGGGGTCCACAGGGCACAGGACAGGGTTTGCAAGGTAGAGGACAGGGGTCAGTATGACATAGGATGAGGTCAGCAGGGCAGAGTACAGTGGTTAGCAAGGCAAAGGATGGGGTCAGCAGGGAATAGTATGCAGTGAGCAGGGCATAGGACGGGGCCCACAGGGTAGAGGACAGGGGTCAGTGGGGCAAAGGACGAGGTCTACAGTGCACAGGATGGGGTCCACAGGGTAGAGGACAGGGGTCACTAGGACATAGAATGGGGCCTGCAGGGTAGAGGACAGGGGTCAGTGGGACATAGGATGGGGACCGCAGGGTATAGGACGGGGTTAGCAGGTCAGGGGATGGGGATACTGGTGGCAGGGCACTCAACAGAGCTGCTCCTTCCCACTCTGCACACAGCTGAGATCAGATTGTTTTACAAACACATCCTCGATCTGCACAGTGTGACTGTAACTGGCTGTTTTATCTGTGCTGCTTTTCTGATCTGAGAACTACAACAGCCAGCTACAGTCACACTGTGCAGATCGAGGATGTGTTTGTAAAACAATTTGGTTGTCAGCTGTGCAGTGTGGGATGAAGCAGCTCCACTATATGTCCATTGAAGAGGATGAGTGCACTCCGAGGATGGGAGAAGGATCTTACCGACCCGTGAAGACTCAGCTTCCACAGAAGGAGGGGATCAGGCTGTGCTCACCAATCAACACTGCTTCAGTGTCATGCAATCAAGCAGTGAGGTGGGCAGGAACTGAAATGAGCTGGGAAAAAACGATTGTGTTAACCCCTTAAAAGCAGCTGCAACCACTGATGTGGGAGGGGGGTGTCCCAGGCTTCCCTCACGTGCCATCACAAATGCAGCTACGTGCCCTGTTTGGCACGCGTGCTGGGGGTTGCCGACCCCTGATTTAGGTGTACCTAAACCCAGGAATGTACACTTGTTAGATATGGTGGCTGAATGAACCTTTTTTAAGGCTTGCTCCCCTATTTTCATTTAGTGATCCTCCATGACAGTGGCTCAGACAGACGCTTACATGTAAATGGGGCGTTTGGAAAACTCTTTTGAATGATGGAAACTGACTGGTGGAAAACGTAGGTTAAAAAATGTCAGTTTAGCATTTGCATACCGCATTTATGAGCATTTGCATTTAGAAGCATTTTTAAAAGATAACCTCAGGAGACCTTAAATGCACAGAATGCACTGAAAAATAGTAAAAAATTAACTATTTCAGACATTTTGAGAGGAATAGAGAGAGCAGTATGTGTTGAGATGACCTGTCTTTTCTGGTTGTATTCACTATGGATCCCATCATGAGCATAATGCAGCACGTTCTACCATTTTTTCCTTCAAGAGAAACATGGAACTGACTGCACTGGTGTGCTAGGTCCATTTGAATACATGGAAAACACTTTGCATGCATTTCTGATGATGAAAAAAGGCTCTGGACAGCATCTGGACATGGAACAGTTAAAAAACACTTCTAAATGAAAACTCTTATAAACGCGGTTAACCACGTTTACAAGCGCTTGGCGTTGGAAACGCTGGTAAAATCTATGGACACATAGGAAAACATTAGGGAAGTTCAGAACAGAACGTAAGTTTAGGAGCTATCGTGTACATGAGCCCTTAGTCTACAAAAGGGGCTACTTGTCTGCAAAGCATTTGGGGAAAGTGTTCTGTAGTCCAGCACAGAAGAACTCGAGCAGGGATGATAACTACTTGGGATTTTAGTGCAGCAGTGGCAGTGTTCTCACAACAGGAAGATGGAAGCTTACTTGATTTCTATTAGATCAACAGCTATTTTTCTTTATTTCCAGTGTTTTTGAAGAGGCATGTTGAAATATGTGTATAGCAGAAATTTACTGAAGATTGTTGTTTGGGTTTTTTTTGGGGTGGCCAGATATGCACTTTAAGTCTGTCTTTTATTCACACTTCAAAGTTCCTCCTCTTCATGGGCTTATCTTCTCAGTGTAACTGAAAATACATGTGAGAGGAGAGCATAACAAATGAACCTTTATTCTTTTGCTCTCTGTAGAAGAGGTATAGTTTCAGTCTACGGTGTCTACATTGCTGAACCAACTTTACCACACGATAGAAATTGTTTAAAATTCAGCAAAGGCTGTTATTGTTGTCTGTTCAAACTGCTTCTTTTTTCCAAGATGCTATAAAGGTTCCAACTTTTGAGGATGATCATTTTCCAGGTGGCAGAATAAAGCACGTACTGTTTGACAGTGTTGATTTTGGAAATAGACTGTATCCCGCATACTTACTTACAGTATAAATGAAATAATTCTGTCCCTTACTTTTTAAGTGGCACCAGATCATAGAAAGTCACATTATATAAATAAAGTCCTTTTTTATTTTTTCCAGGTTCAAGGTGCCAGTTTCCGAGGATGGAAGGATGTGACTTCCATATTCAATAAAGACGATGAACAGCAACTGTTAAAAGGATCCAAATCTCCTAAGTCTAAAGCGTAAGAACAGTAGAAGATGCATGATAGATTTATTCCCTAAATAGAGTAATAATAATGTGCAGAGTCTGGTAGCTCACTGCTGCCAATCAGAAAACTCTCTCAGTCTGGTTTCTGTTGGGTTGAATGCACCTTACCTGTTTTCTTTTCTATTTGCAAAAACCCAAAATTGATATTTTAGTAGACGCTGGAGAGCTAAACCTTCAGAGACACTCTGTGGACTCTCCCATTTAAGGGTAAATAGGAATACCCAAAAATGTAAGGTAGACAGGAACAGTCAAAAATACTGTCTTGCTGTTGGATTATTCAAGAGAATTATAGAAGAGAAACCTTTGTCTAAATCAGGGGTCTCCAAACTTTTTAAACAAAGGGCCAGTTTCCTGTCTTTCATACTTTAGGAGGGCCGACGTGCCGAGTGGAAGTAGAAAATGTCCCAGCGTCAGTAGGAGTAAAAAAAATGACTTGTAGTCAGTGGAAGGAGGAATAGTGTCCAATCATTGGTATTATTTGAAGGAACAGTACCCCATCATTGGTATTAGTGGGAGGAATAGTGCCCCATCATTGGTGTCAGTGGGAGGAGTAGTGTCCAATCATTTGTATCAGTGGGAGGAATAGTGTCCCATCATTGGTGTTAATGCAGTGAATAGTGCCCCATCATTGGTGTCAGTGGGAGGAATAGTGTCCCATCATTGGTGTTAATGCAGTGAATAGTGCCCCATCATTAGTGTTAGGGTAAGGATTAGTGCCCCATCATTGGTGTCGGGGAGGAATAGTGTCCCATCATTGGTGTCAGTGGGAGGAATAGTGCCCCATCATTGGTGTCAGTGGGAGGAATAGTGCCCCATCATTGGTGTCAGCGGGAGGAATAGTGCCCCATCATTGGTGTCAGGGGGAAAAATAGTGCCCCATCATTGGTGTCGGGGGGAGGAATAGTGCCCCATCATTGGTGTCGGGGGAAGGAATAGTGCCCCATCATTGGTGTCAGGGGGAGGAATAGTGTCCCATCATTGGTGTCGGGGGAAGGAATAGTGCCCCATCATTGGTGTCGGGGGAAGGAATAGTGCCCCATCATTGGTGTCAGGGGGAGGAATAGTGTCCCATCATTGGTGTCAGGGGAGGAATAATGTCACATCATTAGTGTCAGGGGGAGGAATAGTGCCCCATCCTTGGTATTAGTTGAATGAATAGTTCCTAATTGTTTATATCAGTGGGAGGAATTGTGCCCCATCATTGGTGTCAGTGGAAGGAAAAATTCCCTTTTATAGTTGGTGCCAGTGAAAGAAATGGTGCATCCTTTTTTGGTGTCAGTGAGAGGAATAGTACCCCGAGGGACGGATAGAGGCAAGCAAAGGGTCCCATTCGGCCCACATATGGAGACCACTGGTCTAAATCAACCTATCGGCTTCTGAGCTTCTGTCTATAACAGGGGTCCTCAAACTACGGCCCGCGGGCCACATGCGGCCCGCCAAGGCCATTTACCCGGCCCGCCGGCAGGGGCGTATTTTATGTGAGGAAGGGACACTAAGTACAGGGGTGGGCAGGGGGCTGCTATACCTTACCTGGCTCCGGTCCCAGTCCCACGATGATCCAGTCCAGAAAGCGCTGCTCCTTCATTAACTCCGGCCACTCCCTCACTCGTGCCACTCAGCTCCGCCTCCTCACCGGTGATTGGGCGCCAGAACTGTAGCTCAGGAAAGGCACACAGGCGGCCAATCACGTGCGAGGAGGCGAAGCCGAGCGACCCCACGAACATCGAGTGAGGGAGAGGCCAGAGTGAAGGACAACTGACAGGTAAGTGTGCCATGCAGATGGTGCTGCTGCAACCAGGTATGCTGGCTGCAGCAGCACCATGCTGGAGCAGGGGTCAGCAAAGATGGGGCACTATTCTTCCCACTGACACCAATGATGGGACACTATCCCTCCCACTGACACCAATGATGGGACACTATTCCTCCCACTGACACCAATGTTGGGACACTATCCCCTTCCCCCACTGACACCAATGACGGGGCACTATTCCCCCCCCCCCACTGACATCAACGATGGGGCACTATTTCCCCCCCCCCCCCCCCAACACCAACAATGGGGCACTATTCCTCCCCCCACTGACAATAATGATGGGGCACTATTCCTCCCCCCACTGACACCAATGATGGGGCACGATTCTTCCCACTGACACCAATGATGGGGCACGATTCTTCCCACTGACACCAATGATGGGGCACGATTCTTCCCACTGACACCAATGATGGGGCACGATTCTTCCCACTGACACCAATGATGGGGCACATTTCTTCCCACTGACACCAAAGATGGGGCACTATTCCTCCCACTGACACTAATGATGGAGCACGATTCTTCCCACTGACACCAATGACGGGGCACTATTCCTCCCATTGACACCAATGATGGTGCACTATTTCGCTCCATAAGACACACTTGGGGGAAAATGTCTGTGCGTCTTATGGAGCGGCCGGCCCAGTATTCCCGCCGCCGTTGTATGTCTGCAGTCTCTGGTCATCTCCTGTACTGTGTCCACATTTGTTCATAGTTTTTTTTTTTTTTTTTAAACTATAGTCCGGCCCTCCAACGGTCTGAGGGACAGTGAACTGGCCTCCTGTTTAAAAAGTTTGAGGACCCCTGGTCTATAAATAAAATATCACTTGGTCGAAATTTTTTTTTTATTCTTTAAATATACTTCTTCACCCAAAAAGTTAAATAAAATTAATTTTTACACCTGAAAAAAGTAATGGTTTAAATGTGACCATTAAGTTCGACCTTATCTAAAAAACCTAAATGCAACCCCTAAAGAAAACCCTCAAACTGTATGCAGATGCTAACAATGTACTTCTCTTATTTGTTTCCTTTTGGTTCGTTATACTATTAAAAGTATTTTGTTATAGTTGGTGGAAAAAAATATTTTTTGATTCTGATACAAATCCAATTATCCTATTCCTGTGTTCTCTGATTGTGCTACACTTTTATTAGCCCCATTAGGTATTGGTCCAGCGCTGGCCATCCTTTATGAATTTCCCCAATATATTACAACCAAAAACTGCACAGATGGAAGGATTTACATGATTGCACCATCTGAGTCCTGGAAGTAGGTGTTGATCTTTTGGATGCTTAAAGAAAGATGGCTCCATCCTTATGTAGAGGAAAGCAGATGATTGAGGCAGGGGGGGGGTGTATTTTGATCTCTGTGAGAATACCTTCCAAGGTCTGCTTTAACTTTGTTATGTATATCAGTCTATTGATGAACAAATAATCAAGGCTATAGTTGTTTTTTATGAGAAGATTTTTGAAACCCCTTTTATTATCAGGCTATTTTTCGGTTTTCAGTGCTGTGATAGTTTGGCAATTACTTGGTCATGCAACACTGTACCAAAATTAATTGGAAAAACGTAAGAGGTTTGAATAGCCAAATATTGTAAAACCAAAGGCTAAATATACTTTTTTATTTTTGCTTAGAGAAAAACCTGTTTATATTCAGTTGGCATGCAAACACCAACTGCAGTTTTATATCTTATGGCTTATATAGTTAAGATAACGGTAATCCAGATTTTGTTGGGCAGGCTCACGGTAAAAAATATCCAGCCTGACATGGATACCATCTTCTTGCAATTCATCTGCAGACTTAAGTGCAGGAACTAGATAATAAAGAGCCATACGATGTACCTATCAAAGTAGTGCCATAAAGGCAAGCCAGCCTTTAAAGTGGTTATATACCCAGTGAAATGACTATCCTCAGGTGATACACAAATCCTATCCTCAGGTGATGAAACAAATCCTCCTACATTTTTCTCAGAAGCAAAAATTGGGGGGAGGGGGGCAGGGATCTGACATGACACACACTGAAGAGCTAGAGCACAGAGTTCAGTGAAATCAGCCCTGATTGGAGGGAATGGACGCATACCCTCTCCACACAGTAAACAGTACTTAGCTGAGGCTGTCAATTACAGGCTGTATGCTAGAGCTCCCTCCCCCATCCCCCCCTATCTATCTCTTGCCCCTGGTTCACAATAGTTTGCATTATTTGAATGGGCTGCTGTGCCAACATTTCACACAAGGAAGAGGTGCATGCATCTTTTCCAAAACGCGTCTGCACAAAAACCGCATGGTCTTTTTGATCCCCCGCCCATGGGATGAGATGCGTGGGGGGTGCCACTCAGAATGCACACATCTCGCAAGAGAAACGCAATGTGGGTGGTTTTGGGTGTGGGAATCTCTTTGATACCCACAACCAGCCCGCAGCGTGCGGGCTAGAGTGAACCTAGCCTTGGAGTCGGAAAAACCTGTCAGTGACTTACGCAGATATCAGAGGAAGGAGACCGCACACTAGGTGCTTTGGATAAAGGCAAGTACACGCTATGAAGGAAATGATTTGTTAATTTTTCACATCAGAGGTTTACAACCACTTTAAGCTAAATGTTATATGTGGCAATTTATATGTAGCTTTTTGGCTGTAAGCTGTCTAAAATACATGTTTAGTATAATGTGAACTGAGCCAGGGTTTTCCCAAGGGGCAAATGTTTCCCATTATTAATCTGTACCAGACTGCCTATTCTACAACATGTTTGCTCTTGTCAAATAGGAATACAATTTGGTGTGGGCTATATAACTGTTTATGTGGCCTTTTTGTAACCAGTGCTTATCTGCTTTATTTACAGACCTTCCTTGAAGACAAAAGAGGAAGCAAAGACAGAGAAAAAATCTGGGTTCTGGGACAGTTTGGCAATAAAACAGAATGTTCAACCAAAGAAAGCAGATGAGATTGAGGGCTGGGAGCCCCCCCAGATAGTGGTGGAAGAGGACCCAACATTTCCAGAAGACCCTCTAGATGATAACCACTCTTGGCCAGGTTGGGAAGATGAAACAAAAGGATCATCTAAGTACACAAATCTGACTAGTCCAGGGAATACATCTAGGTGGAGCATTAAGTCAGCTGGCAAACTAGTTAGTATTAGAAGGCGGAGCAAAGGTAACTTGACTGAGAGCTGGGAAGAGCTAGAATGACAGCAATGACCGTTTCAAAATATGCAATATCTTCAATGAGGGTAGCAGGTTTCATAAGTTCTGAGCTGTCATTTTTTTTTTTTTTTACCAAAATACTCTAAGTATTGACTAGCTATGTACTTTTATATTTATTGGGGTCCTACACTAAATTTGCACTTGTGTTCTTTATTTTTAAATTAGAAGTAAAAAATAGTTACCATTTTTTTTCTCTCCGAGAACCCACCTGAAAAATGTTGGGGTGGCATTACTTGTGCCTATGTGACAGTCCGAAACCTGACTATAGTTGGTTTCACCAGAAACAATAATTCCTTAGTGAATGTATACACTGGCTATAACTTAGACTGCCTTATACTGTTACCAGTAAAGGGTAAAATTTGCCTTGCACATTAACCTGTCAAGTGCCTGTATTTCACCTTGATAATGTATTTGTGATGCACAGCTTAATTTATTGGTAAGTTAATTGTACCTGTTTCCGTTGCTTTTATGAAAAGATTGTTGTTTTTAAAAGTTAGCCTTTGTAGGATGAAATTTAAGTATGTGTTTTGTGTAGCATTTTATTTCAAGCTGTCTGAACCTAATTTCTCCCGCCAGTAAAGTACAGAGTGTACTTGACTTTAGATTATTGTATTATGCCTACTTGCATAATATCTGTATTAAACTGACCCTGTAATTCAGGTTTTGACAACCTTTGTGTTCAGGTGTCTTGAAACAATAAGGCTCAGTTGAGCTATTTTATAGAAAAAAAAAAGTGAGAAAATGTTGTCTATTGCAATCATTCGGTTGCTACAGCTCAAATACAAATAAGATTTGTGAAAAAAATACGTGCATGTATCTGGTAGCCGTAGACAAGTTAGAAGTTCCTTCTACAGTTTTGCTTAAACTGCCATACCATTCTCTTCTATCTAGTGGTCAAAAGCATTATACTTTTTAATGCCCCCAAAGGAAGAAGACTCTGTCTTGAAGTGAACCTGAGCCAGGAATATGCACATTAAAGTATTTACGTATGCTGAACAAGCATTAAACACAGCTTAAGACGAGACATGATTTATCTCTGTGGCTATAGGCAAAATTCATTTTTTATTAAACAGAAAACAGCAAAATTCATTTTAAAGTTCATAACAATGACACTGAAATCTTGGCTCTTTTCTAGGGAGTGCAGAATTTTTGCATCCTCCCAGCCCTCTAATGTACAAACGCAGCAGCTATTTCTAAGCCATTAGAAACTGACTGAAATCAGGCTTTAGTCTTTGTTGTGATCCTTGAGGATGAGTTATTTCACATTAGAATCAGCTGAATAGAACTTGTTTTAATGCTCTTTTACTGCTTGTTAATACACAGTTAGTTTAAAGTGGTCGGAAAGGCTCAAGGTTTTTTACCTTCATGCATTCTATGCATGTGCAGCAGCCCCCCTTCATAATATTCTCCTAAGCCCCCTCTCAACCCAACGATGTACACTGAAGTCTTGGCTATTCTAGGACTCCCTCTCATTGGCGGAGAAAGCAGCAGGAGCCATTCCCCCTGCTGTCAATCACAGCCATTGAAAAGGGGGGGCGAGGCCAAGCCATGGCTCTGTCTGTGAATGGACACATGGAGCAGTGGCTGGGGAGTGCACATGTTCTGGTGCCCCCATATCAAGCAGCTTGCTGTGAGGGCACCCGACAGGAGGGAAGGGCCAGGAGCACCGGCGGGGGACCTGAGAAGAGGAGGAACCAGGCTGCTCTGTGCAAAACCATTACACACAGCAGGTAAGTATAGATATGTTTGTTATTTAAAAAAAAACAAAGAAAAGCCTTTAGAATAACTGTAATGTCTATAGTCTGGGCACAGCTTTACTTTAGGTCTGTGAGCTACCATAACTACTCCTGTATTCATGTGATTAATGCATATAGATGTGCTGGTTCTGCATCTGTTACTCAGTGTATACAGGAGCAATAAGGTCATTGATGCTGTTGCAACCATGAAGTATGAATTTACAGTCTCCTTCAGTATGGCAGATAGTAATAATTTGCATACGTTCGGTCTTTGTAGCAACCAATTGAAAATCTTGTCTCATTGATCAGACTACAGTAGACTGCTTGGTTGCTGTAGGTTACTAAAATCTGCAAATTGTTACAGTTGTTTGCGCTGCATCACTGAATAATTTTATAAATTTCAGAGTGACACTAAGGAGATTGTCACCATGGCACATTGAAGAAATGGCCCTTCCTGCAATGTGCATTAAAAAATGTCAGAATGCGATAGTTCTAGAAATACCAGTGAGCCACTGAATGTCTACCTCTGCTGTAGACCAAAAAATTGGAGGATGTGTCTCATATTATGTAAGAGAATAAAGTTTCTTTTTCCTGCATGTGAGACTCCTTTTCTTT